CGGTAAAAATGTCCAAAAAAATAAACAAAGGTACCATTAAATATCTAATATTTATATTTTTTGTTTATAATTAACATATATAGTCAACATTAGCATTTATTATAAATGAAATGGATATCTTAAATTACACTTTTTATTTAATGTTAAACATAAAAAAATATCTGCATTCTTAAAAATTTATAATTTTTTTCTGTTTAAAAATATTATTTGTTATATACTTATATGATAAAGAAATATACAAATAATTAATTTTTTATAATCCTAAATCAATACTAGTAACTTTGTTTGACTGCGATTTAGCCTTATTTTACATTCTTATAAAATAAGTATTATTTAATATACAATCTTTTTTAACCATTATTTTTTACGAATTTTTAAATATGCTACTCCATCAAAAATAGACAATAAAATAGTATCTTGTAAATAAATATCTTCATTCATGCGAAATAATTAGACATTTAATGCTATTATTTAATTTCTAAAATATTTGTTAGGTTTCTCTTCATTTTTTCAAAAAATATTGAATGAATCAATATCTACAATATTTCTAAACAATAATAAATCATAGAGCAGTCGATAATATGCTGTATTTTGTTAATAATAGTAATTTTTAATTGGGGTATAAGTGACTTCATGTGATCGTTTACGTAGAGAAAAAAGTAACTATTACCGGGTTAAGCGGTTCGTTTAGAACAAAGCAATTATGTCCCGGAACGACAAATTGATAATGTACCTTGATTACATGTGGAGAATTCGCGAGATCTAAATAGATCTCGGATGCGCATACGCGCGCGCGTGCACATTGCTACATACTATTTTACAATTATAAAATAAAAACTATTAAAAATAATAAATTAATTTCTTGTATAAGTGCGTGCATGCGTGATTAAGTGAGTGAATGAGAGGGAGGGGGATAGGGTACATGCAATGCAATAAATAATAGACTAAAAGCCAAAAGTGAGTTTGATATTGTGAAATAATGGAATATAGTTTCATATTATTATAGCAGTTGAAGGTTACGAGGAAGATTTAAGTTATGTGTATGTCATCACGTTTGCCTATTCTTTTAAGGAGAATATTGCCTTTGTCATCCGCGCGGATGAATCATGCAAAGTGAATATATCGAAGGAACCAGTTTTCTTCCATTCAAAGCAAGTTATGACGACGAAAGTCAAACAAACTTTAATCGCACGAGGAATTCTTTTTTATACAAGTGTACAACAGAATTTTTTTTATTTTGCAAATATACATTGTAAAGAAATAATTTCAATTATAAAGATGCGCACTTATCAATAAACGAGAATAATCGATTTTTCGAAATGATCACTCGTGTGAGTCCTTTTTTTCTTACTTTAGGTGACTTGTTTGAAATAATCATCGAATGCAAGACATATAAATTCATTTTTGTGTATTTGGGACTTGCAAGTAATGGCTTTGGCTGCTTTGAGTCATTCTTCTGCTTGTGTGAAAAACCCAGGCGTGATAAAGTTCTCCACCTCCAACGTTGCGTCGACATTCCATCTTCGGAATGTAGTACCTACGCTGTCGGGGCCCGCCTCCATACAGTATCCTTGGAAAGTATATCCGGTTTATCTATAGCGGTATATCCGACTTATTTTGGCAACAAACTCAGAAGTTTGATCGAATGTTACGACTCAGCTAATTGTAACTTTTATGTCGAATTAAAACAAACGTAGTATAAATAAGATAATAACAAAAAAAATATAGATTTATATAGATTAGAAGGAAGAGAAGCCGTCTCTTTCTCTGAACAAGTGTTTATTTAAATTTTATTAAATTCGAATTTGAAACATTTAAACGAAAATTTATTGTTAACATTGATCTTTAAATCCTTAAATTTGCAAAGTTCATATAAAATTTTAAAACAAACTTAAATTTGTTTGATAATTTCATAATCAATTTTCCAGAACTGACAATAATTTTGGAAAATAGCTGCGCAGATATATGCAAGCACGTTCTGTCCTCTCTCTCTCTCTCTCTCTGCCTCATTTACATTTACATACATATACTCGAAATATGCAACTTTTCTAATAAACATATGTATCACAATGAATCATTATCAATCACTATCAATCGATTAATCATTTGGCAGTTGATAATTCTTAGAAGAAATACGTAACCAAACACATATGACTCGTATAGCGTGTAATATTGCAGTAATATCTCAGTGATATTACCATATTGCAATAATATTATAAATCTGCAGATATATTATAGAAATATTACTGCGATATTACATTAGGATATGTCATAATATAATATGCAATAATCAAGATACATGGTCGCGTATCGAGCCAAGTGCATGCGCGAAGTAAGGAGTGTGCGGCTGACCGTGTATATTTATGCGACGACTTTAATTGAGTGCAGACAAGATTTCTCGTTCGACTATAATGACTGAACTGATGAGGTTCTGGATTAGCTTAATCGATTCTTTGAATTCATATTACTTAATAAAACTATCTTTAATTTTGCCCTACGTGTTCTAGAAATATTTTAGCTCAAAGTCAGAAATCGTAGATTTATACATAAGAAACGTCGTCCCCTCACCAGAAAATGTTAGTTGAGTATATTTCTTCCTTAGATGACGTCGCGGCTTAAATCAACCCGGTCAGCCGTTGCCGTGAAGTTTATAATTATCAAGAGACACGTTCGTGTCTTGAGTCAAGTTTATGTGCGAAACAACGGGCTCACGGTTGGTCGTGTACATTAACACAACTCTAGTTGAACGCAGGCAAGATTTCTCGTTCGACAATAATATTGGGTTGGAAGGAAAATAATGCCGTATTTTCTATATCTTCCCAACAGATAATTTTAATGTGTTTTACTAGAATAAAATTTCAATCTAAGTGGCGTAAGTGCATGCTATTTTAACAGCTAACACCTGTAAGCATTAGTTTGTGTATGGGGGATGTGTATGTAGAAGCGTTTGTGTTTACTTGAGATCGAGAGAAAAATGGAGCAAAACAAGTTATTAGGTGCGCAACTTAATTCTCGGCCCTAACTTCAATCGATGACAGTACTTAGTCAAATTCATATATCTTTCCCGTCGTATAGTCATATTGAAGCACCATCTGTAAGCTTTAAAATGCACTGTAATCATTGACAATTCTATATTACACTTTATTTTTATATTACATTTTGTTCCATAGATATTAAACGTATTAAATTATTATCCCTTGGACATTTAAATGCACCGAATTAATTAATCGATAATTACGATATTTATTGTGGTGCAGAATTACTTTTTTACTGATATCATATAATCCCATCTTATTTGGCCTACCATAAAGAAGTTAAGAAATTTATCTGAGTTTGTCAAGCAATAAGGTGAGCTTAACAAGAATAAGTCGTTATAGCGGCTGTTGGTACAGCTCGTTGTACCCGAGCAGAAATATGTCTAGTAGATTAAATTTCAAGACTAGTAGCTAGATAGTAATGATTAGATCACTTTTCTAGCCAGTCACTAGTTCGTGACTAGCTAAATACTCCTCATCAATCTTTAATTGTTTAGTCATTAGATAGAAAAATAAATAAATAGTAGATGGTAATAATAATAAATAGTAGTGGCGTTATCTTTTCTAAAATATATAGTCTAGCTACTATCTCGCCACTAGCAGGATTATATTAGTCAGCACATCGAAATTATGGTTATGATACAATATCAAATTCCGTCTAGTAACTTAGTACCAACATATTATAAATCCTAAATCTCGAAGTTAGATGTTAGAACTGCCTAACTATTAGATAGTAAGTTTGGGTATAGACAATGATGTAAAATACCAATTATCTAGTGGGTAGATAATTCTGACATTCAATTTCTATTCAGGATTTCTATGTTGCTACTAGACAGTTACCAGAATTTGATATTCAATTTCCATTAAGGATTTACCGGGTTTTCTATTTCGTTACTGTGTAACTTTTTCGTCTATGAGATAGAACCGCGCTGAGTAAAGTATATGTAGCCAATATAAAACGTTCACTAGCGACTGTGACAGTGGTCTAATATGTAAGGTGAGCGACTCAAGAGCGAGAGGTCACAGATTCAAGTCTAGCAGGGAAAAACGAAATTTTTCTATAGATTTGGATATAACACGTAATCAAGGAGAATTTCAAGAATCAAACTACATTGCAGGATTACTCTCTTTGAGAGAAAAAGGAAATAAAATTAAAACTCTGATTAATAAAAACTACCTAGCTCTTAGGAAAAAATCCGTGATGCAGAAGTTCTAAGAAAGCTGTCTAGGGATTAGGCATTCCTGATACAGAGAAAAAGTGAGAGAGAAACCAACGAAAAGAAGAATACATTTTTCATTTTATTACATCTAACTACTAGCTAATTTTTCTATTATACCCACCAGGAGAAATGAGCACTACATTTTTGGCTAGAGGCTACCTGAGATTTTTCATTTCATGACTATGTACTATTTTTTTGTCTAGCTATTGGCTAATTTTTCTAATACAGCCATTAGAAAAAGTGAGCGTTACATTCCGAGCTAATAGCTAGCTAGTACTACTAGTAAATAGCAATGTAAAGCCCAATTTTTCTATGTCCCGACTAGACAATTACCAGATTCAATTTCTACTCGGGTATATACGAAATGTAAATATCACTGTTAATACGCCACATTATATAATTCCATGCATGTATTTGCTCTTTCACAAATAACCCTTTGACTACGATTGCGAGTCGACGATGCTTTGTTTGCCCTCTCTCACCTTTCTTTTTTCCTGCGACTCTAAACTTTTACAATTTATAAGTTTTCCACGAGGTAAACATTTGGACGTTGTTTCTATTTCTATTGTGTAAATGTATAAGTGAATATGTAATTCGTAACCATGGCGAATGACTTCACGCCCGCGACTTTATTGCTCCAATTTAACCAAATCTAATCTCTCGTAAGAACAAAATAATTTTACAACTCGCTCCCATCTTTGGCTTTTACGATAATATTTTCAGGTATTCCTTTTTTTACCAACAGGTTCAGTCGGCCGTAGAAAACCGACCTCACGTTAAAGACATCGAGGTGGGACGGCAACGACAACAACGACGACGGCAACGACGACGACGAAGAAGAAGAAGAGGAGTCGATCCACCGTTGAAGGTGAGGCGAGGTGGAATCTGCTGAAAAAGAAGAGAAAAAAAAGAAAACTGAAAGTGGTGCGAAAGAGACGTCGAGAGGGAGGAGGAGGAGGAGGAAGAGAAGGAGAAGACGGTAATGGTAATGCTGGAAGTGGAAGTGGAGGAAAGAGAGGGATCGAAAGGTTGAGCGACCTACGATTTGCGAGGAGTAGACGGGGGGAAAGGGCGACAGAAAGTGGAAATACGTAGGAGGACAAGGGAGATAAGGGGAACGGCTGGAGAAGGACGGAGAAATGGTAGGTGACTGGCAAAGTACAATGATCGGCTCTTCGACGAAAGGCAGATAGCGTCACCATTAGCTGTTGCTGGGGCATAGAATATCGGGCTTATGCGTGTTGTGGCCCTAGCCGTGGGTGAGGGGGGGGAGGAAGACGAAGAGGAAGAAGAAGAAGAGGAGAAAGAGACGGAGGAGCCAACAGTGAAGGAATACGAAAGATACACGGGGTACTACGGGGTCCACGGGCCCGCAATGTATCCAGTGACAACAACAGCAGCGGGGAACAAGAATAGCCGGTTCGCCACGACGTGCTCGATTTTTTTTCTGCCGTCATTGCCGCCGCTGCTACTGTTGTTACTGTTGCTGTTACTGTTGCCCACTTTGATTCTGACGATCGTCGTCGATGCATCACCTCTTCACCCCACGCCGCCACATAAAGGTAAGTCGATGTTTGTCTTTCGTCATTAAGAACGACAAGGCCTCGATATTTCTCGTTTGGATGATTCGATATGTCCGGAACGTGAATACATGTCATGAAATTGAATAGTTTTGGCAAATATTAACACTCTGTGTTAATATTTAATCATATAAATATTTATATAAAAATTTATATGATTCTATTAAAACGACCGAAATAGACCTTCATGCCGTCTTGACGTTCTCACTCGAGGTGAAAATTTCTCTTATCAAAATGTGTTTCTCTCCAAACCAAACAATCTGAAAAAACCGAATTTAGATATTCCATTGGTAATTATGGGGATGCAGCTCCAATGACCTTGACTTTCACATACGTATGTTGTCAAGGAAATGAACCTGAGTAATAATCAGAAGGTTTTACGTGTCGATCATTGTTCATTAAAAAGTTATTAACAAAAGAAGTTTTGAACACGTATTTACTGTAGGGCACCCACCTCTAGTGACCTTGACCTTGATATATGGTAGAGATCACTCTCCTAAGTAACCTAAGTAAAACCTTCCGAAGGTTTTATCCGTCGTCCACTGTTCATTAAAAAGATATTAACAAAAGAACGGAAATACACGCATATACTCACACATACATTACGCATTACATTACACATATCCACCCATATCGATTAGTGCGTAAAAATTTTTCCGCTGAACCACTAATGCCAAAACACACCATATTCACCAAAAAAAAGCTAATGGTATCTGTTCGGTGGTCCAGCGCTGGTGTTTTCCACTACAGCTTCATGAGATCTGGTCAATCGTTTACGGCGGATGTTTACTGTAACCAATTAGATGAAATGATAAGGGAGCTTGGGATTAAGCAGCCGTGATTGGAGAATAGAGACAGGCGAATTCTCTTGCAGGACAATGCTCGACCACATGTCGCGCGAATAACGTCGTTCAAACTGCAGGAGCTGGATTTGGAAACTCTCTGTCACCCACTGTATTCCCCGAACCTTGCACCAACTGACTACCATTTCTTCCAGGCATTGTACCACTTCTTGCAAAAACATATTTAATTTCCAACAAGCTGTAGAAAATGGCTTTCGGTATCGACCGTCTGCTCGTATCCAGTCGAGAAACTGGGATCAGCGTGCTCGCGATCGCCGCCGTGCGTTAGCAGATTCTCGACTGGGCGCGCGGCGATACAACGGAAGAATCCGTCGTCGACCATCCGTACCGCCTCGTCGTCCGCACCGTCACGTTCATAGCACCGAAACGAAGACGCTGTGCGTCCGAAGCCACCGTCTAAATCCGTCTTCCGAAGCCGATATCGCCCGGGTCGCGTCGCCAAAATATGACACGTTTCATCCGCACCGCATTGTCGAAGTTCGGTCTCTGATCCGTTTTCGACCATACCGTTTCTATCGGAAACCGTTCGCTCGCGATCCGGCGGACCAGTGTAAGATAAGTCACCCCGATTACCACTCGCCATTAATTCGGAAGCTTACGCGCATTCGTCATACGGCGAGCGCCCCATCCGTCGCGCTATACGCTCCGCCTCGGAACCGATCGGCGTCGATCCGCGAACGATAGCCGTCCCCGCGCTGCGCCCCGCGTCTGGCCCGCCGCACGCATTTAACAAGATAGATGTGCTTCCACCGCACGTGGAGCAAAGCGTAAGAGTTCACAGACGACTTATTGTCAACAACTTATTTATAAAGTAGAATAACGATGCTTTCGTGAGATTATTAGAATGCCATTAGAATATCACAGCCACTTGAGAAAAGGTGAAGCGAATATTCACCGTAATGCACGCTCGGCGCGTGTTTAATGAAATGACCGGAAATAAGAAATGACCGGAAAATTTTGCACGTAGCTTCAAAGATTTTTAGGAGTCTGAAGATGAGTAATAAAATATTATATTTTTAAATATATGGTGACAAATATGAAAACTAATGCGCACTTGTTTTATTAGTTTTCTTATTAATTCCTTTTTATTCCGTTGGTTTCTTATCATGATCAGAAATATTTAACAGGAAATATATATAAAAAGGATATAAATATTCGTATACTTATTAACAATATGTTACATAATAATTGGTGCATGTAGATTAAAATAAAAAGTTGCAAAAATCAAAATTCGAGTCCTCAATACACAGCATTCTTATCGTAGTAGTCAAGCGCCTTACGCACTTAGCTGCACCGCTGAGCTTGAAAGATGTCGAAAACTCGTGGCATAAGATATATCTAAAACTTCGAACTGAATTTTCTCGCGAATATTTGAGGGTTGCATCTAGTGGATTTACCATGCCCCTACCATCAGTAGGGGTATAATATTACAACGTATTTTAAGTTCGATGAAATCCGGAAGGACAATCTTTGGTGTTCCACCTGTAAGGGATAATTCTTGTTGAAATTTTAAGCTTAAGAATAGCATAGGATTGCGTAGAGGGAATTTATTCCACGTACAACAATGAATACTTCGAAAATAATTCAGAAGTTTTCTTTGGCTTGTTCGTCTTGGTTATATTAGATCATTAAATATGAAATGTCCGATTTCGAATCAAAAGTTTGGTTCATTATATCTCAAACAGAGAAGCAATACATTTAATCAAAGTACGCGCCTAAACTATCGACACAGTTTTGCCATCTTAACGGTAGCTTGTTTATGCCGGCAGCGAAGAAGCCCGAAGAGCGAGTGGCATGAATGAAATCGCGAAAGACGTTTACCCGCTTGTTGAGAATTGAATATTTTCCTTGTAAGAAGTGGTCCTCCGATGCCTGAAAAAAGTGATAGTTGGTGCAAAATCTGGTGAATATGGTGAGTGACAGAGAGTTTCCACATCTAGCTTCTGTAGTTTGAGCAGTGTTGTTTGTATGACACGTGGTCGAACGTTGTCTTGCAAGAGAATTAGCTTGTCTCTATCGATCAATCTCGGCTGCTTAATCACTAACTTCCTTATCATTTCATCCAATTGATTGCAGTTGACATCCGCTAATCGATCGACCAGGTTTCATGAAGCTGTAGTGGATAATAACGCTGGATCACCAAACAGATACAATTAGCTTCTTTTAGTGAATATTCGCTTTCTGACTGTGTTTTGACACTTCATCTTTATCCAACCACTGTGTCGAAGGCTTGTCATTGTCGAAAAGAATCAATTTTTCATTACACTTAACTTAAAATACGATATAGAAGTAGTTCACCTTCAAGCCGTGCAAGACAGCAAAAAAGGGAAGTTTAGAAACAATTTCTCTTCTGACGCTCGTTTAATTCATGCGGAACCCATTTATCCAGTTTCTTTACGATTTGTTTCAAATGGTTTAATCTTGTTAGATTAGTAACGTCAAACCTTGCTGTTAATTCATGCGTAGTTTGAGATGTATCCGCTTCCACTATAGTTTTCAGCTCATCATTATCCCACCTTGGTCTCAGGTCGCCCACGTGGCCCATTTTCAAGATTAAAATCGCCAGAACGGAATTTCTTAAACTATCGATGTACCATGCGTTAATTAGCCACATCCTTGTCAAACGTGTCGTTGATATTTCCAGCTGTCTGCGCTGCATTGGTTCCACGAAGGAATTCATATTAAAAAATAACACGAATTTTTTTACTAATCTATAGTTTCACAAAAATTGATCTGAAAAAGACAATTCAAAGGATACTTACAAACCAAAATATACGTTTTAGAGAGTGATGTACCTTCACAATAAAAAAACCAAGAACTGTCAAAGTGAAATGTCAAAGATATTGACTCTCAAACTTAGCACTTAAAGAAATCGGACATTTCATACTTAATATAAAATAGGACGTAATTCATGGTATAATTGAAAAGAAGGCAATCCTTAATGTAAAAATAAATTAAAGATATAAGGCACAATTTTTCGCACGTTTTGTTTTCAAAATAATTGATTTTAAAAATTCATCAGATACGTGTACAACTGAACACAATATTGCTAGATGTTATTCCATTACCGGTTATTTCTATATATCCATGTTATTTCTATCCAAATAATGCACCAATTTTTGCATATTATTTGTTTTTTATAACATTACAAATATTATTGAAAATTCTTTTCTCCCGTTGCTGTAATGTTCTGCTTGAAAAATTAAAGAAACGGAGATTTAACGTGTTTCCATTTTGTAATTTTTCAAGTTCTTGTATGATTTTTGTTTTAGTTGTAAAACTGAATTTTGTTCGTACCACGAATCAAGCTTTATTCTATATTACGCTTCTATTCACAAGGTAAAAAACGCATCTTTACGGGTGAGTCATTTTCGCACGCCTCAATGTTGTGCGTCACTTTTATGATTTTGCGCAACGTGTATCTTTCCCAGGCTGCCATTATTATACAAGAAACATTCATTTTCTTGTACGCTTTTCAGACATCACATTTGGTTCGTATATCAAGTACTACGAGGTGGCCACGTATGACACTGCGGCGTTGAGACAATATCGCAATCGGATTCGCCGCAACGTTGCTGACCCTGTCGACGAGCAACCATTGATTCTGCATCTGAAGACACTCGAGAGGTGAGTCTCATAAACAAAATTGTATATTCGATTTCCCGTCTCTTTGCTCGTCGATTGGCATACACGGCACTCTTCTTTTTTTCCGCAATATAATTTTGGCTATATTCTAAGCAAAGACGATGGAAGAACGATGCTATATCTAATTCTGAACATTCAAAAAACCTATTCGAAATTTCACAATAGTTTCACAATAGACTTACCTCTCGAACATATAATTTTTTTCCTTGTCTTAAAATCATAAAATGTAGGAAATGTTCGAATTCTGAAAATGATGTTGAAGCGACCAAATAGAATGGCAATCCGACGGGGATAAATAAGGCGAATAAGCCGCATAAGAGAACATTTCCAACCCAATATATAAACGAGATCCTTCTTTTGCAGTATATGACCGTGCGTTATCGTGCAGCAGAATAACCTGCTTAGTTCCATTGCCGGTAAAGGTTCTTTTTACAAGTTTTATGGGTTACAATACCTTCACCCAAAGCGGAACAAATCATTTCGGTAGACTAAGCAACATTTTTATTCAATTGGAGTTCAAAAAGGATGCAGTGTCTTAGATGCTTCTTTTCGAACAACATCGTGATAACTACTGTTACTATTAACTACTCTGAGGTTATATCGGCAAGGCCGTCAACTATTATAATGTTTCTTAAAGCTTAAGCTTGACATTTTCAAGTCACCATAGGAGAGAAAAACATTTAAACTTGAACAAGAGTTACAGAACATTAAATGCAATGGCACCGAATTAATTTATACACCTAATAGATGAAAACTTCCAAGTTATTCAATTTGTTGGAAGAAAGAATAATTCAATAAACTAACTTTTGTATTATTAGGCAATAAAAACCTGCTTTAAAAGCTTAAATAAATTAAACCAATATTAATTAGTAGACATTTTAAACATTTAATTAATTAATAATAATTAATAAAAATTTTTTGTTACTCTCCATCTCTGCGATATTGAATTATTATTAAAGTCTATTTCAAACCTATTTTCAATTGCAATGTAATATTTAGACGGAATTCATTAATTTTCAAAATTCGATATTTGAGGATTTTATTAATTCCTATGAAAACATTTTTTCAAATTTACAATAATATTAAGTGCTGCAAAAAGTTCGCGCGATTTTCTTCTTAGCAAGGAATTGAAGTCGGATTTCAATCAGTAATTCGCACGTGTAATGCATAAAGTTGGTATTGATTAAAAGTTATATTTATGTTTTATGCTTCCAATTGTTTCAACATTCCGTTGTTTATGTGAGATTAAAGATGGATAGCGAAAAGTTAAAAACTCGTGCTTTCTTGCTTCATAAGTTTAAACTTGGAAATACAGCAGCAAAAGTAGTAAAACGCATTTGTAGCGTGTGTGGTGAAGGCACTGTTAGTAAAAGAATAGCACAAAAATGGTTTAAACGGTTAAGGAAGGTAATGAATCGCTAGAAAATGAGCCACGTTCGGGACGAACATCTGTTATTGAAGATGATGAACTGCGTGGATATGTGCGTTCAAACCCACAAAAAAGCTATGTAAACATGAAAAAAGATCATCGAAGTCAATGGTCTACTTTGTCAAATAAAACTACATTTTAAGAACTACATTTCAAGGTCAAATTAAAATTTTTTAATGTGAATCTCTATTTTTGACTCCAGAAATGAAAAGAGCAGGAAATTCTACGATATGTTATCATGCCATGGGGTCAAATTGATCCGTAGAATTCATTCCGAGGTCAAAACAATTTTTCAATAATAATTCTTTAGGAAAGCAGTTTAGAAGAAAATGTTAATACGAAATTAGCAGAATTTAAAAAGGAGCATCTGATGACTTTGACCTCAGTGTAGGGGTCAAATTTAGAAGTTATTTAATGGTCAACTTGAAATTTTTAATTGAGTATCGTGATTTTTAACTCCTATCTTAAAACATATATTCACACACGCACATATATTTTTAGTTATAAATTAGAATATATGTGCGCGTGAGTGTGCAAAGATTCTATTTTATAACTTGAGTACGATAGGTTAATCACATAACAAAAAAATAGATATTCAAAATTATAAAATAAAAAAATACTTTTTATATACAAGTAGTTATAATAACATTATATTCTCTTTTAACAGGGAAAAAGTTTTCAGATATTTATTTTTTAATTGTGAAGATTGCGAAATATTATTGATTGAAATATACGTAAACAGAATTAATTTATGATTTAGGATATTTTTTACTTCTGTTTAATATTTCAAAGATTATATTTATACTTTATTGACATTGTATCGTTTCATTCTGTTGGTATGGACTCAATATTTCACAGATCTACTCCAATTTTGGAATAAAATTATCAAAATATTTATCCTATGAGTAAAATATAGCTTTTATGGAATAATGTTAACGTAATGTTCTCTACTCGTAGTCTCTGTTGCAGCGGATCTTTTTCTTTTATTCTTTACATTTTATTATTAGATGATCGATTTTTGACGTAAATAAATCTAGCAAATCATAATATCATTATTTGCCCAGCAAACATCATGTAACAGTTATACAAATGTTAATTATAATTTGCTACTTAATAATATAACTTAGTTAACTGTTATTTAACGTATGTATTTTGCTTTGTGTTTGCTGGATTAGTATCATATTATTGTAACAGGCGGGAAATATTGATACACTTTGCACGCACTTGATTCGCAAAAACATCTGTTCCTCTTCATGCCACTTCGTAATTCTGATAATTTTACAGATCCTGGACGATACGTTTAGTTCACGACGCGAGTTTGTTCAGCAAGGACGCAACTTTTGAAGGTACGAATGGGCCAATATCCTTCGATACGTCGCATTCTTACATTGGTACTGTTTTAGGTAAGTTTAGTATTGAATTTTATTTAATTTTTAACATTAACGCTTAACGTATGTATTGATAGATAGTATTTAACATGTTTGATACCATAATTTATTTAGGGAACTTTCTACAGATCAATTTTTATTTTTTTATGTAATTGTGTAAAACAAATTTAATTTACTTATGTGGACATAGGGACAAAAATTATCGACATATATGTAACGTTGATTTCTCGTGATGTGAAAAATCGGTGCATCACACACCGATATGTGTAACGCTGATAGCAAACGTGTTAATGTCACGTTTGTAATACAAGATCGATATATCTGTTATCTTGGTTTTTCGTTTCTGATTTTCATTTGTCAGTACTATCTTGCCATATATAAGATAGAAATTGTCCACATAAATGTAACAATGAATCCTGAGATATACATGTTAAAATTAATTGCGTTAGTGAATGATCTCATCTGGAGCACGACTTTAATTTGCGATTAATAATATCAAAGCTTGTCGCATTAACGTTATATAGTCGATATAACGAACGTCATGTTAGTTTTATTGCGGTGACATTAGATATTTATATGTCATGTACTCACACATACCAAAATTATATTGCGCAAACAAGAAAATATCGTCATTAGTCGATGTTATAGCAAAACGAGTATATTTCAAGATCAACTTTTCTTTTTACAATGAAATAATTAGTTATTATCCTTCAATTTTAATTTCGTAACGGATAGCGTGCGAAATTCATTTGAAGTCAGTTTCTTTGCATGGATGCACAGTGCACGCGTGCAACGGCTGTATTCACTCGATAAAACCATGTCTTGATACACCTGAGAGTGTCTTGTTTCATTTTCTGACGCACTATTCATTTCCATATCATCGAAATGTTATACTTAATTAAAATTGAATTTAACCCTTAAATGCATGCATTTTTTTTTATTACTGAATTATTTTTTTTTTAGGTTCATAGATAGTCCCAGAAAATGAGAAAAATATTTTTAAAAATCTAAGTAAAAAAAAATTCTCTTTATTTTCAAAATTCTTCGTACTTGCAAAAATGCAACATTGTACACAAAAGACATTTTTACAGTTAATGGTGGAACATTTTAAAACAATTATTTTTTTTGTTAAAACATAGAATAATACCACATTTTTCGCATATTATATCTGTAAATCCATTACAACTTGAAAACTTGCATCTAGTTCTTTTCTCTGCGAACACTGGCCAGTGTGCAATCTGATCAGTTCGTACTTCTTTTGGAGGCATATGTTGAGCATTGCCTTCGTGTCTTTTGGATTGTATATTTCGTTCTAAGGAATAATTTGGTCTTCCACGTTTAGGTGTGCCTTTGATCTCGACATTACACAGACACTTTGCTATTTTAATTCTATATTTTGATTTATTATTTCTGTATGTTTTCCTTTTAAGGTCATTACTCTTTTATAAAGTAGCCATGCATTCACCATAATTATAAAACATACCTTTTTCTATATAAATCCAAATTTTTTATCCAATTTACCTCGAAAATTTTAGTTTTAGACTCAGTGTAAATACATGTAAATATAACACTACAAATGACAGTTTTAACTGATGAACTGTCACTGTATTCACCAACAGCGTCATCTATCAGCATAACTTTGAACTGTATACTTAAAGCAGATTGTTGCAAATATGCAACTATGAAACGTTATGAATTATTCCTGAAGATGAGTATTTTACATGTGGAAAAATAAATATGTTGCAGATTTGCAACACTATATATTTAAGGGTTAACAAGGTCGGAAGTGTCCCTTACCAATTTTGATGGACTTTGGATATGTTGTAGAACATCAAAAAAACATTAGATACATATTTTTAGATACGTGCATATCTCGATATTTAGGGGTTCAAATTACTTCTCGAAAATAAAAGATTTTTTCAGTTTTCAGCGAATATTTTCAAAACTGTGAGATATATGAAAACATGATTATAAATATAGTCTTATGGTATTTTATAATATTTTATAATACTTTTAATGTTACCTTTTTTATTAGGTGTACTAATTAATTCGTGCCGCCCAACTTTGCACAAAAATATAAATCATTTAAATTTAAATTATTGTCACGCTCTTTTGCTATTTTAAAGTATTGACATTCAAGATTAAAATATGCCATGTAGTTTGACATTTAAGCAACATAACCTTAAAAATCAATAGTAAATATCATGGCCTACGATAAAGAGCATGCGTTCGACACTGCATGTGTTTTGCGTTTAATCTTAATAAAAACGCTTTTGAGACAGTCGAAATGATTTGTTCCGCTTACGGAGAAGGTGCAGTGAGTGAAAGAAAATGGTGCAGAAAATGGTTTAGTTATTTTTGAGATGGTGATTTCAGTGTTGACTATTAACCACGTGCTGGACAGCCTCGCAAGTTTGAAAACGATGAACTGCAGGTGCTACTCGATAAGAATCTGACTCAAATACAAAAAGAACTTGTCGAGCAATTTGGAGTGACGCAACCAACGCTTTCGATTCGATTGCACCAGCTGGGAAAAAATTCACAAAAAAGAAAGATGTGTTCCACATGAGCTGACTGCTGACAACAGAAATCGTCGGTTGACCACGTACATTTCTTTGCTCGCCAGAGTACGAAAAAAGGATTTTTTGCATAAAATCGTAACTGGCAATGAAAATGGATTATATATAATAATCTTAAACACAAAAAATCATGAATGAATCCTGGTCAACCAACGACATCAACAGCAAAACCTAAACGCTTCAGCAAGAAGGTTCTTCTTCGTATATGGTGGGACCAGAAGGGTGTGCTGTATTATGAGCTCGAACCAGGTCAGACAATTAAAGTAGAGCTTCATCAACAACAATTAATCCATTTGAGCGATGCAATTGAGGAAAAACGGCAATTTACTAGACAAGGCAGTCGTAGGTCATCTTGCTCCATGACAACGCTAAGTCGCACACAGCAGAAACCACGGAAGAAATAATTTTAAAGCTGGGCTGGAAAATTCTTCCTCACGCGGCGTATTCACCAGACATAATCCCTTCAGATTACTACTTGTTTCGGTCGATGCAATACTCCTTATCGGATACACACTTCGACTCAATTGAAGACGTTCGAAATTTCATCGATGACTTCATCATTTCAAAGCCACCAAGTTTCTATCGCGATGGAATCCGAAAGTTGCCCGATAAATGGCGGAAGGTCATTGATGTTAACAGAGAATATTTAAATGAATAAATAATGTGTTCGTATTATTGAAAAATAAAGTCGAAGTTTGCGAAAAAACGGCACGAATTAATTTATATATCTAATAAAAACCTAGTTAGAGTTCATGATGAGTCTGTTCCTACATATGCGAATTTCCATTTCATATACGAATTATGTCGAATTGCAAATTGGATTGCTGAATCTGACATTGTCGTACAAGCGTGGAGGATACACTACGTACAGGAAAGCCATAAACAGCTACCGATGAAGAAACCATTAAAAAAGTCTGCAGAATTGTGATGAACAATCATCGATTAAAATTGAAAGAGATAATGGAAGCTGCAGGCATCTCTCATATGACCGCACACATTGCATTTTACATCATTTGGATTTGAAGAAGCTCACAGCCCGATAAATGCCGTTGCTGCAATCAACCAAAAGCAAGTACGAATCACCATTTCTTAGTAATGTTTAGACATGTTCAAGCGTGATATCAAAGAATTTTTGCGTCATTTTGTGACTGTCGATGAAATATAAAACCTTTACTAAACACCGAGAGCAAAGAATAGTTAAAAGAGTGGGCAACACGCGGTGAACCAGGTTAACTCCGAAGAAGACAACAGGGATTCTATTAGCCGGATAGATTATAGCAACTGCCATTTAAGATTTCCATGAAATAATTTTCATTGACTATTTGGAATATGGAGAAAATAACCGACTATGCATCATTATTAGTTCGGTTGAAGAATAAAATCAAAGCCAAAAGATCCCATTTGATAAAGAAAGAAGTCGTGTTTAAAATAATGCACAAGTCGACAATTGCGATGGTATAATTTATTGGTTTAATTATTGAAACCCACTATTCCAAAGTAATGTAATATTTATTATAAGAAATTCCAGTATCTATATTATCCAGCACACATATCTTTCTCTAACCAACTAACTACATATCTATGAGAAAAGAAAAAGTGCGCGTGTTTCGCCACCAACTTTAGTACAAAAATAAAACTAAATTTAATGACTAAATTTGTACCCAATAAATTTAAAATAACCTTTTATGGTTAACTAGACTCAAACATAAATACAATTCATTTCAAATATTAATTCAATATAACAAGCATCAAAATAACAATAATTGTTTTAATCAATACTTCCATTCTTGTTATATTGAGTTTGTTTCAAATAATAGATAGTGCAGTTTGATTTATACATTTTTCTCGAGTTTTGTAAAAAAATCCGCTAACTGATTTTCGGAGTGTATATAACAAACAAGCACATTACAAGCTTACAAGCATATTATCGTCGACTTTTACGCGAATAAAATAATATTTTATATCTATATGTTTTGTTCGCTTGTGGTGTTCCGTACTTTTAACTAAGCGAATGACACTTTAGTTATTCGTGTGGAGTTTAGTTGGTTTTATCACTTCTTGACCAACTTCTTGAAGAAAGTTGCACAGCCAATATTATCTCAGTTGCTGCATTTGAAACTACGATATATTCAGCCTCACTCATTGATTTTGTAACGTATTTATGTCGATTTGTACCGAATGACCATTTGCCAATAAGCTCATATAGCCTAATTGATCGTCGATTATCGTAAAGTCAACATCCGAATAAACAACCAGCTCAACGTCATTCGTTTTTTACATGATAGCATATATGTTAACCATATCAATGGTACCCTGTAGATGTTTAAAGATTTTTTTAACAACAGCCCAATGTTCTAATCCAGGATTATTTAAAAATCTGCTTACCAGACTAACAACAAATATCAGACCGTGATACCGTAAACATTAAGCTTTCAACTGCTTCGCGATATGGCTTATTACTCATTTTCTTTACTTCATTGTCATTGGTAGAACACTGTCCGCTATGGAGCGACACTCCAGGCGTGCAACGAGTAGGATTTGATTTCGAATTGTCGTTGAACTGGGAAATTTTGTCACGTCCGACAGATTTATTTTCCCCGCCATATTTTCACTTGTTCCGGTCCTTCCAACACTATTTAACAGATTCCCACTTCAAAACATTCGAAGCAGTCGAAAAATGCATCACCGCTTTTATTGACTTTAAACCAGCGTCCTTTTACCGAGAAGGGATTCGTTATCTTCTCGAAAGACGGGAAAAACGTGTAGATGCTGCTGGAGATTACTTTGTTGATTAAAATATATTCTGAGTTTGTATAAACAAACATTAATTTTCATTTAAATGGGCCGAGAATTAATTTGTACACCTAATATTTTATTTTCGACAGAGAAAATGAAAAATATGTATTAAGAACCACAATTAGATAAATAATACAATCATAATTGTATTGTTTTAATGATGAATATTCTGCTAAAATTGATTAGTAGATCCTTACTGATCGGCACCGCCTATTTTTTTCTTTCTTTAGAGGATGAGAACGCCGTGGTGCAGGGTATCGTTACGAAAGACGGTCTTTTCGATGGCAGCGTCGTGACCAGATTCGAGGAGTACTACATAGAACCGACGAACAGATATTTGAATAAAAATGAAGACACGTCGCCACCCTATCACAGCATAGCTTATCGAACCTCCGACGTTATTATACCACCACATCCATCGTGTGCCAGTCATCAGCTGCATCAAGGAGCTCTTCGTAATTCCTTTGATAGGTAAGCGTCTCCTCTCTTTTCTTCTCTATTTTTTTTTTTTGAATTAGTAATAGTTATTACTATGGATTGATCAAGTAAGTCTCTTCCCGAAATATAAAAAAAATACTTAGAATTTATGAGAAATTTTTCACGTTGCCCAGTGTATTTACTTTTTGTTGACTCAAATTGATCATTTTAAGTTTGATGGCATTTCACGGACATATCCGAGACGCGAATTATAAGAACACAATGCCATCTTATTTAATTTCATAACGAACACACATTTGCACATATTGCATATGTTATTTTATGCATACAGGATGTTCTATTTTAAATGATTTGCCTCAACAATTTTTTTGTGTTCCGTTTTAGAAAAAAATGTTTCCTATAAAAGTTGTATTGTCTGCAGGAACACAAATAACGGTGAAATCAATTTCCCAAAAAATTATTTGCCAAGTTAATTGAAAATTACCTTTTATTTTTTAAGTAGAATGCTCTTTTTTATATTGTATTCTTATATCTGGTGTTAAGATATAATATTTCCAGACCTATACACTTAAAGGCTTATAATTATCCATATTTCTGTTGAAAATTCACGAAGTTATAACATCATAAATTTTCTGCTACTGTCAGCTTTAAAGGAGTCTTCTTATTTAAACGTCCGTTTTGAAGCTGTCTATCGTACGACTTTTTCTGGACTTTTTCTGGACTTTTTCTAGACAGTGAAAACACATAGGATATTGACGTTTTTTACACATATTTATTCATGGTTTAACTTTGAAAATATTTAGCTATTACTGTGTTTAGATAGCATATTGTACAGATATCAAATATTGAATATATATATGTTGAAAAGTTCTGAATTTAGTGTCCCATGGTTTGCGCCGGTTTCTGAAACAAAATTAATCAAAAATCCTTTTAATCTATATAAATATAATTATCGTCCCTACCACAATTAATAATGCAGCTCAATATTTAACAAAATGATGAACACTTAAATATCATGCAGAATTTCATCTTCTTTTCGATGTTTTCAACAAGCTGTAAAGAAAAAATAACTGAAGATAATGATCTAATAGTAGTAGGGACGTTAGCGACAAATGTTATATTTTTGTTGAAGGTAAAAGTTTTTGAGGTTCAATTTTATTATAAATAATTCGATTGCTTTGCACATGTATACAAACTTCGGACAGAAACTAATGATCATCTGTTGTACGCTTTATAAGTTATTTAAAATTTCAATAACAAGAATTTGATAAAGAATGGGAGTGCAAAGAGGCAAATAAGAGTCAAATGCCAATGTTTGTGTGAGATTTTCAATTTTGATCAAATTTATAAGTATATAAATATCGAATATAAACATAAACGTTTCAGTTTTTACATTTAGAATCTTTTTTTTTCAGTGTACATTAACTACGAACATAACAATAAACGTATCAAATTTACTATTAATCATATGTTATAATATAAAAACGCTTGAACAAAAAGTGTAAACGTGATTATGTCGTTAACGCAATGTCGAATTATATACAATTGTCGATCCTAAGATCCTTATTGCTTCTCATCATTGCAGTGTAAAATAGTCCGCGATTTTTACATTTTTATGAACTAAAATATACTCACAATTCTAACTAGAATAATGGTTTTCCAATTATTACCGTATATGGATAATGCCATTTTTTTACTATATTCAAGTCATTCTAATGTTCCCACCACTTCTCGAACGAATGATTGTCACTTCCTGTTATTTGAGGTGACCCAAATAATGTTTTTTCAAGATTTATTCATTTTACTTTGGGACCAAAATCGAAACTTTTTTTACATCCTTCTTTCTAATGATATAAATTCTTAAGTATTTTACTATACTTTATGTGAATTTTCGTATGAATAATCGCATGGTCTCTAAATATAAATTCAAAATCCATGATGTTTTATATTTTTAGATACAGATACAATCATTCTGAAGCATTCTACGAGCCCTTGTTTGTCGAACGTGATAGTTCCTACTTAAAGGAAAACAACGCGAGAATATTAACATCAGAAACTAATGACGACATTACATATGCAGACAAGTAAGTATTTTATGCTAAATCTTTAAATTAAAAAAGCCGGATCCAATCATTTTGACTTTATACATATGTTGCTACGGTCATCTCTTTCAAAACGTAATGTTCTGGCCCTAATGTTTAAAAAGTATTAACCGTTGTTCGTTGCCAACAAATTAATAAGAAAAAAATTTGAGAAACATAACATTTATCATCAGTATTAAAGGACAACATTTGCTGATATGTATATGGAAAAAGCATATATATAGGCGGAACCAGAAAGAATCAAGAAAGAATAGAACGAACGAATTTATTAGAAATCTGCCATTTGTAGGCTTAACATAGAACTAAAATTTCGATTCGGGTAACTTGAACAAAACGTTTATTAAACATATATGAAACATCCATATAACATGCCTGTTCGACGTTCAACAGATCGTTTTTTACAGAAATTTATTACTGCCAAACCAGTGATTAATTATTTATTTTCAATATTTAAAACACTGTTGTTAGTAATTCATAATGATTAAATTATAGAGCTTGCAGTAATCCCAAATATTTCAGTGCTTAGGGTTGCAGTGATTAAATACTACCTTATCATTAATATGAATATTTGAATACTAATATTTAAGTAGTAGTGATGAAATATATTCTTAAATTTAATACTGAGAATTACTGAATTTGTAGTGATTAAATATTGAGAAAGCAGCGGAAGTACAATATATAGTGCACATTCATCAAGTAAATATTCCGGAACAGAAGATCTAAGATGCCTGACTGCTAACTAGATAACTCAGGTACTGCCCTGAGTTTATATTTTTCCTTTTTTTTTTATTATTTTTATTTTATTACTAATATTAATGAAAAATATATACAATCTTTATATATATATAATTTGAAATATATTAATCAATGATTAAATATTGACCAAATAATTACTGCCAGTATTTAATCATTTTAAATTCCTTAGTAATTCTCAGTATTAAATTTCTGTAAGGGAATAAACATATGAAAATCGGAACTGTGACTATCCAGTGGACATCTGAAGGAAGTTACAAGGATGTTTAGTGGATGTTTCCAATTTCCATCATGGATGTATAATGGATGTCGAATAGAAGTTTCTGCCCTGTGTGGGTACAGATGATAATTAGCATGAAAATTGAATGTCGTTGGATTGAAATAGAATTTGGACAAGCATATTTGACACTTCCAAAGCACCAAGAGAAGAGTGGCGAGGTGAACGGCATTTTTTACAGCGCTAAAAATTAGCCTTATATATCCTCTTGTTCGTAGAACAAGCGACAGAGATCGGATTGCGAGGCATCTGCACAAACGCGCAACGGTAGATCCTCGAAAAACTACCTGCATGCTCTATTTGCAAGCGGATCATCAGTTTTTCACACGATATGGCACTGAAGAAGCCTGTATCGAGGTGATGACGAGGCACGTGCAGAGAGTCAACTCCATTTACAAACATACGGGTGCGTTTCTCTCACAATGATATCGTACGTGCTCATAGCGAAAAAATAATTTAATATATTAATCACAATCCAAGAAAAACGCATTTCAAAAACAGCATAAGTTCGGAAAATTAAAGACTGTCATGTAATAATAAAGAAAATGAAAAGCGAGAAATGAGACTAATGTAATAAAAGAATAATTCATTTAAATAAATTTAGGGCCATGCAAAGAGCTTTAGAGGTTTTAATGCAAAGAAAAAAGAAGGTTCTTTAGGGGTCGAGTTCATGAATTCAGTATGAAATAGTAGTAGTAGTAATAATACTTAGATAATTGGGTTCAGAAAACATCTGACCCCAAGATCTATATCTTCTCAACGTTAGGACTAGACAGCGACACAAAATGTGAATGCTGTCCTTTTCTTCCTCACCATATAACCGGCATTCTCTTTATCCAGCTAGTCCTAGATTATGCAAGTGAGCTCTTAAGGCCACATGTCTTGTGAGGAAACCGATAGCAAGTCTCAGTCTCCTCTTTATCCGTTCATGCGTTCTTCTTGGCAAGAGTTATTCCATCAGGAGTTTGGCCGGCGGCAGCCTCGTCCCAAGAGGCCGAATGCTCCCGTTCCAGGCTCTCTCTAATGAACTTGTTCCCTACGGTAAAAGGGACTCCGATGATTTGCTTGACCGGGTCCTTTAAGATTCCTAGTTTTGCATTACCGCCACCTTATTACCAGGTAAACCCTGATGGCCTGATATCCATACCAAGGAGACCTTATATCGCTGTCTGCAATTTTAATGATCGTCTGACAAGTTTGATAGAAATAATGCAAGTGCTGAACCTGATAGTGGGACTAAATTGTTTCAATTTTTGTATGAAGGCGGACGTGCATCGCGTCAAAACAATCGAGCGCTCAATGACAGATGCTGCCAAGAAGGTTCGAGAAGCCTTGAAAACTTCTAGGAAAGTGACGAGGCCGATGTTGACCTGGAAGGATAATTATACGGCCCAAGAATTGTAGACTATTTCCATTGCGTTTCCATTGCGAAATTGTAGAAATTTTTATTGCGTTTTCCCAAAAATTAAGTTAGACAAATATCAAATTATTATACATGGATAGTTTTGGTTTTTGGTACTCTTTAATTTCTGTCTCTATAAAAATTTTGAAATTTGCAAAAATTGTAAAGAAAGGTGGGGGTAAATAAAAAAATTGGGAACTTTTAAAAATCTGAATATATCATTATAAATAATTTAAAATACCTTTCAACTTTATTCCTTTTTTCACATATATTATAATTTATAAGATATTCACTAAATGTGAAACTAAAAATGAAAAATCAGTTTTGTTTGAGATTATGTCAGCTATATTCCGGTTTTATGGTTTATCGGGTTGGTATTATACAGCCCTAAAGTTGGCAGGAAAAACTTTCCGATTAAATTAATATTACAATTGATTTAATATTATGGCCGAGAATTAATTTGTACACTTAATAAATAATACACTTAATAAATGTACCGTTAAAGAAAAGTCATTAAATGAAAATTATTACCTTATGAATTATAAATGTGACTTGCATATGAGAGATGAAAAAAAAATTTATATTTTAACCGAAATTTCGAGATTTCGTAACCTCTTGATTGTCAATAACACACATATGTATTGTGAATGAATTATTAACGTTAAATTATAAAAACACTTTCTAAGTCACATGCCTATATATATCAGTAGGTTCACATTATTTAATATATTTATTACTTACAAATCTAATAAAATTGTCAGTTCATTTTATTAACGGATTTTATTGAAATAAAGTGTTTATATTATACATCATTTTCAATGAATTTTCAGAGAGTTATTATGCGAGCTTAAAAGAACATAAGCATAAATGTAAATATGAATTAAGATTTAGTAAAAGATTTTGTAAAATAATTTTTTGTTCTATATATTCATCATCTTATTATCCGTCATATTGGATGAGCCATTTTGAATTTATCAATTTTAACAGCAGTTTTTTCTCATAAACCCCTTGTACATATATATTCGTTACAATGATCTTATTAGTTAATGCTGGGTATTTTGGGCCCACTTATGCAATTTACGTGCTGACAGCGAAAGGGTCACCTTTTTCTCCTCCCCTTTTGTACGTCTCTGAGCAAATTATTCCTTTTCAATGACGCGGTTAAACCAAAAGTATTCTAATATCGATCGATAATTTAAATATTGTCTTTTTTCAGATTTCAATCAAGATGGGCGACCGGATAACATTGGTTTCATGATAAAACGCGTGAAAGTTCACAGCGAAGACGCATTGAGAGATCCCAATTATCGTTTTCCGGGCAATTATGGCGTAGAAAAATATTTGGAACTCTTCTCCGGTAATAATCTGTTACTTTTTGTGAACCTAATACGACAATGTATGGATGGTAGCTCGATGTAATAGTTTGATTGAACATTTGATATGTTACAGAGGAGGACTATGACACGTTTTGTCTGGCTTATATGTTTACATATCGAGACTTCGAGATGGGAACTTTGGGGTTGGCTTGGACGGGCGATCTTAAGAACGCTGGAGGCGTATGTGAGAAGAACGGGGTAAGAAGTTTTGATGCGCAAAAATACGCAAATAAATGTATTACGCGGACATAAATTGTCAAATACAACACGATGTTAAAATTAACAGAAAATAATCGATGAAATAACACGCGTTGCAGCATTACCGCGGCAGCATGAAGTCCCTAAACACCGGCATAGTTACCCTATTGAATTATGGAAAGCATGTGCCACCTGCGGTCTCTCATGTTACTTTAGCTCACGAAATCGGCCACAACTTTGGCTCGCCGGTATGTATTCCCGCTTCCGTTCCTGTGTTTTCGCATACGATTTCGCGCGTATAATATAACGTCCCATCGATAAACAAATGACAAACATGTTACTATATCTGTTTTGTTTCGCATCAGCACGATCCCGAACAATGCACGCCTGGCGGCGAGGACGGTAACTTTATAATGTTCGCCCGTGCTACCAGTGGTGACAAACGCAATAACAACCGCTTCAGCCCATGCAGCCTAAACGCCATAAATCCCGTGTTGAACAGCAAGGCGCGTTCTGTGAAAGGATGCTTCACCGGTTAGTTGTTATTTATAAACGGAATACGCGATATGTTGTCGCACTGTTGTTAGACAGACACGTCGAACGCTGCTTTTCTAATTACTTCGCTATATGCCTCTCTCCATGTACGACGACATCTGCATTGTTTATAGAACCATCAGTGTCGTTGTGTGGCAACGGAGTGGTGGAGGAGGGGGAAGAATGTGACTGCGGCTGGGAGGAAGATTGCAGAGACCTGTGCTGCTTCCCTCAACGTCGTTACCAGTCAGACAAGGAGCCTCCGTGTAAGCTCACTCCGGGCTCCGTATGCAGTCCTAGCCAAGTATGTATATAGTATTTGTCTTAGATGATTTTAGAATCATCTATAGATAAAAATGGGATGATTCGCAACTTCATCTTAGATAATACGAAGATGACTTTTTGCTCTTAGGCTGCAGACGGATTCACGCTTATAGTGCTGTAAACGTCATTTTATCTCTTTTTGACATGTAATTAACAAAAAAGATAGAATGGTGCTTACTCTGTAAGCGTGAATCAGTCCGCAGCCGTAATTTGTTTAGATGAAAGATGGGATTATTATCACAATTTATCTAGATACTTTTTTTAGATATTTTGATTTTTATGAGACTATTCATAAAAATTTATTTTATTCATGAAAAAGTTACGCAAATCATAAAAGAGATATTAAAACAGTACTTACAATTTTATTAAACATTTTTTTTAAACTAACAAGTTTTTCAAACATTTTATCTGATAATCGGTTTCGACGGGGTACAGTTATTTGTTGTGCTGAACTAAACAGGCACCAATGAATGGAACAAATGTATTATATTAAAAAATATTATTTTGGTAATATGAGACTAGAGATTCTTCGATTCCCATATGACACAAATGTTCAAAAAACGTTCTAGAGATGTTCTCAGAGATGTTTAATATTTGCGTGTGTGCGTGCAACACAATTTCTTTTCCCATGAATAGATGTCTATCTACACTTCTGGTAGTCTTACTTTCAAAGAGCATACATATACTTTTTCATAAAGCGTGGAAATATATGACTATTGTTGTGTATAAAATAATTTTTAATATTATTATTGTTATTTTTGTTATGTATTCAAGTGTTTTATATAATTACATATCGTGCACCTCCAATAATGATCATTTCTTAGTATGAGGAAATACGAAGAGGTCGTATATATATATGTATATATCGAGTGGATAGGCTGTTACAGATAGCATTACAGATATATGGAGATATTTCCATTTTTTTCGTTATGTAAATAGCATTATTACATGGTTGGGTTTGATATAAAATACTCTTTCATATAGTAAAAACAAAATTCTTAAATTATAAAGAAATTGGTGAGTGGTGAGGATATGTTTACAATTATAAAATTTTTGAAAAAAACTGAAAACATTATAAACTACTCTTTAAACCATTTAATTATTTAATTATTTATTATTTAATTATTTAATTATCACTCAGAAAGTTTTTTGTATCTCTTGTAGTTTGAACGAAACATGCTCCGAAAGGAGAAAACGATTTTCTTCAAAAATATGTTTCACTCTAAAAGTATATATGGGCATGTATAAAAAAATACGTGCCCCTTATTTTGGTCTAGATTACAATATGTTTCAACTTCATCAAAATCGGAGGAAGACTCTTCTTTCCTTGTGAGACTATATGATTTCGATGCTCCATTTACTTACCTTTCAGGGCCCGTGCTGTACCGCTGAGTGTAACCTCCGTTTCGGAGATAAATGCAGAGATGACAACGGTTGCCGCGATGCGAGTTTCTGCGATGGCCGCTCTCCGTATTGTCCGCCATCCATTAATAAGCCCAATAAAACTATATGCAACCGCGAATTGGTTTGCTTCATGGGGGTAGATATCAGTCAAATTAAAGACACAGTTATTTCCTTGTTAAGCGAAACAATTCGTCTTATGTGCGTTAAATTGGCACCTCTTTTTGCAGGAGTGCACTGGTAGCATTTGTCTAGCATATGGACTGGAATCCTGCCAATGCATACCGGATTCAAACGATCCACCAACGAAGGCTTGCGAGCTCTGTTGCAGACATCCTGGTGAAAATCAACCGTGTCTGTACGTTATTTTACTAATTAAATTATAAGAGACTTTACGAAAACCGGATTACTAACTACCTAAGTAGGAGAATGGCGTCAGAGGACGTCATATTAACGTTTGTTTCTAGTCATGTCTGATCTATGACGTCGTTGGTTAATGATATATATAAATCATTAGATAAGTTTTGCAATACGCGCTTTTACTTTCATCGTGCAGCCTTAAAGTTGATATTTGACAAGTATTCACAAGTACGTCTCAATAAAAGATAATATGTCAAGTTTAGTTAGCCTGCGTCATACCGTTCGTAAACACAGAGCGTTTGAATCAGTCGAGTTCTTCAAGTACGACATCGTGGTCGAGAAAGGGGAAATTCGTATGGTAATTAAGTACACTTTTGTGAAAGGTTTGACGATTGATGAGCGTTCGAACGAACTCAAAACTGTTTTAGGCAATGACTGTCCGCATGAAACAACAGTTTTTCGCTGGTACCATGAATTTCAACGTGGAAGCTTCTCCACGGATGACATGCAACGCTTCGGGCAGCCTTTCGATGTAGTAACGGAAGAAACCGTGAATAAAGTAAGGCACTTATTTGCCGAAAGCCAGCGGATAACGTATCGGAAGATTGAGGAGTTACTACTATTAAGTTGTAAAGAAAGTAATTGCCGATTTTTTTGAAGAAATGGAAGACGATTTTCTCATAGAAAGTGAAAACTTTATTCAGTTATGTATTGACCATTTTGTTCTAACACCTTTTGCCATCTTTCAACCAACCTTATAATTCCGCGCTTATAGGTCTTGTCCCTATTGGCAAAAAACTGAACTAAATGATTTTTTACACCTTTATTTGAATCGAAGTTTACACAATTCAAAGAATTGTTTGCAGAGACCGAAACAAGTGGTAATCTGATGGTGCAAGATTAGATGAATATGGTGGATGTGTGTCAGTACATCCCAACCAAGCTTCAATAATTTTTGGCGAGTCATCAAACTTGTGTGTGGTCTTGCATTGTCATGATGGAACACTATACCTTTTCTATTCACCAATTCTGGTTGTTTCTCGCGAATGGCTGCATTCAATTTACCTAAGTGGCGACAGTAGACATTCGAATCAATCGTTCGGTTCATTGGAAGCAGTTCGAAAAACACCACACTTTTCCAATTCCACCACACTGACAGCATAACCTTTTCTTCATGAATATTTGCTTTTTACGTCGATTGAGCTGGTTCATTTCGTCTCAATCATGATCGTTTTCATTGAACATTATTGTAGACGATCCATTTCTCGTCGCCAGTTATCATTCGCTTCAAAAATGGTTCGTTTTCCTCACGTTCCAATAGTGAATCGCAGATGTCCATGCGTTGTGTGAGATGAATTTCTTTCAATTCATGCGGCACCCAAATATCGAGCTTCTGAACGAAGCCAAGTTTATTTTTAAATGAGTTGCAACACTTGTTTGCGACGTATTTAATATCTCTGTGATTTCTCGAGTAATGGAACGACGATTTGCTTCGATCAATGTCTTTATTTTGTTTTCATCAATGTTCGGTTGGTCTTCCTAAACGTGAGACATCTTCACGTCAAAATCTCCAGCATGAAATCTTGCAAACCATTTCCGACACTGTCGTTCTTTTAAGGCAATCTCCCTATACACAGCATATAACTTTTTATGTGCTTGCACAGCATTCTTTCCTTTACGGAAATAATAAAGTATAGCGAAAATGCTCTTACGGGATTTCCATTTTCTAAACGACGCTGTAAACAAATGACTTGATCGATTCACGCACTTTTTGTTTCTAAATCACGTTTAAGATGTCAATCGCCAATTTCTAAAGTGATTTTGCGGTTCAGAGTGAAGTATTGAAGTATGAAGTTACTTACAAATGCGACTAATGACATCTATATATAAAATCGGTAATCACTTTCTTTACAACTTAATAGATTAATGCACCAAGCATTCATAAAATTTTACACGAATAATTGCACGTACGAAAAGTTTGTACGCTGTGGATCTCACTCTCTAACAGAATAGGAAAAGGTAGGGTGAAATGGTGTCGGGAAATGATGAGAACTATGAAAATAGAACTTCGAGGCACTTAAATAACTTCGTTACGTGTGACGAAACTTGATTATACTATTATGACGTTCGATCAAAGTGTAACAATCAAGTGTGGGTACTTGAATATAAGCCAACCCAAAAATCTCGATCAATTAAAAAAAAATGATCGTTATATTTTTTGCGGTCGGAAATATTTTGACACGAATCGTTTTGAAAAATCAGCGAACAGTGACTCAATAGTGTGTAAACACATGTTTAAATCAGGTGATTGCAGAGCTAAAAAATCTGCGTCCACATTCAAGAGTGAACACTTGGCTTTTCCACCACGATAATGCTCGACCACATACAACTCGACTGACACAAAAATTTTTAAAGAATTCCAGCTTGAAATTGCTTTAGCATCCACCCTACAGTTCTGATTTAGCACCCTGCGATTTTGGTTTATTTCCTCTTATTAAAGAAAAATTGAAAATACAGAAATTTTCGAGTGATGAAGAACTTACACAGGACAGCGCATGTGCAAATCAACCTCCAGAAAAGTGGCAGCAAATTTTCAATGACTGGTTTATTTGAACGGAGAAAAATATTAAATGTAATAGTGATTCTTTTGAAAGAATGTAAATAAATAAAGCTGTATTGCCGACTTATCTAGTGACTTATATACGTTTATGATATGTCATATTCTGGGCTAATTAAAGACGTCATATTGAAGACTGCTAACGGACCAAATATTTTATTTCCTTACAAATATTTTGTATTTGTCTTTCTATCTACATTTTTTTATATGATTTGCAGTGTATATTGTTTTTCATACATTTCCAGGATATACTAAACTCAATTGTATTTCGTTTATTTTACGAATGATATAAATATATTGTAGAAGTCACATTTTCGCACATTTTCTATAAAACAATTAAAATATGTCTATATGTTTTAATCAATGTGAATGAAAAGCGTAAATTTCTTGAATAATACGTTTGCTTTTATATGTTGTGTTATATATTAATTTATTGGATCATCAATTCGCAAATACACATTATATCAATAACCGCATATTGTCTATTGTTATATTGTTTCCAATATTTGCCATTACAATGAGCAAGTATACTATTAGAATGATATTTTGAATGACATAAGATTATATTATTCTCGCAATCTTATAGACATACTGTGAAGATATAGTGACACAAAAATAAAATGACAAATTTAAAAAATTTTTTAAATCGGATAAAGATATTTTAAAAAATTTTTTAATTATTTAAATAAGACAAACGTTATTTAAACTATATTAATAAATAAATTCCGTAGTATTCCAGATATTAAATAATCGATAATTTTATCCTATATTGGTCCTATTTTTGTCGTCAGTTAAACATCACAATGACGTTTACTAGATATGATATATCGATGTCTTTGTCGGGCTTCCTAAGACACGATTAAGACGTCTATTTAGTACACATATGACCAAAATATGTCGTCCTTTTGACTGTTGCGTCTGTTTCCTACTTGGGTACAGTTATAAAGATGATTCTTCAACAAATTGTGGGATCAATTGTTTCTTTTATTACATATTTTATTTTAGATCGTCTTTCGACTGGAACTCTCCGCCATACGATATCCCCGACATATTTTCAAAACCGGGCACTCCATGTAACGATTACAATGGTTACTGTGATGTCTTTCAAAAATGTCGTGAGGTAAGTGAAACCGAGTTACGAGATAGTGAATGAGATAGAGAATGACATTAATTAAATAATATTTTATTTAGGTTGATCCAAGTGGACCATTAGCAACTTTGAGGAAGCTTTTATTATCCGACGAAAGTCTTGCTACTTTTAGGCGATGGGTAGCTGAACATTGGTACGCCGCCGCTCTGATAATTTTAGCAACAATATCATTACTGGTACGTTATTAAAAATATCTGTTCTTCTTATTTAATTTGTTATCGATTTATTAATTATCACCACACTTTGAATTTCTAAGATTTATTTACGGTTTATTCATTTATTTTCTTTCTTTCACACATGTCAATTTGCTTATATCAGCCATTTTCCAAAAAGCTTTGATCATTATATATATCATTATATATTAGATAAATACAGAAACAAATATACCTAGGTAGCATATGTCAGTTATATACGTTTTTTGAACATATACAGAATTTCATAACTGTGAAGAATCATCATAAAATGTTTAAACAGAAATAATTTTAAAACCGTAATTTAAGAAATGTAATTGTTATGTTTCTACATTAAAAAAAATATTTGTTTTTCTTTCAAAATTATAATATTCCTGCTAGCTGTAGTAATCCTTTTTGGAATATTTAAATTCATATTGCATTAATTATTGCACTAAATAAATGATTTAATCCATTTACTTGCTTCCCAGGTAATACACACGTTTCTGAGACATTTTATAACCGCTCGCTTAGCACATAATATTCTTATAGAAATTTAATACTGAAAATTAAAACTGATTGTTAAAAAACTTGCAGTGATTAAATACTGACAGTATTTCAATAATTATTTATATTGGGTATGGGAATAAGTTTCTGCTCTTTCTTAATGAAAAAGAGGTATTTATTTAAACAAAACAATACAAAGTGAGTTCATTCAAAGAATGCTCCATCGGAAGCGACAACTTTCTCGCACTTTTTAGGTAATAAACGGATTTCTCGAAGGAAGAAATCTTGTTTTTTTGAAGCCATCCATTCATCAAATCATTTTTTGATACCTTCATTAGGACTGAATTGCTCTCCAGAAAGAGCCAACTGCATGGACCCGAACAAATGGAAATCTAAAGGAGCAATATCCGGTGAATACGGTGGGTGGGGCAGAATTTCCCACTTCACTCCTTCCAAATATTTCTTGACCGGAACGTGGGGCCTAACGTTGTCATATAGTAGAATCAGCTTGTCGTACCTATTGTCCCATTCCGGTCATTTTTCTTTCAAAACTTGTTTCAAATGTATCAGTTGTAGTCGATAACGATCAACAGTGATAGTTTCGGACGGTTTCATCAGCTCTTAATATACAACACTTCTTTGATCCCACCAGATGCACAACATAACTTTCGAAGCATGGATATTCCGTTTTGGCGTTGATGGACCTGGTTCACCTGGCATCACCCATGCTTTCGGGTGTTTAGGGTTATCGTAGTATCTATTTTTCATCGCCAGTCACGATATGGTGCAGAAAATCTTTCCTTTGTTGTCGTTAAAGCAGCATCTCGCACGTGACCAAACGTTTTTCCATATCTCTCTCTTTCAATTTGTATGGCACCCAATTTCCTTCTTCTTGCACCATTCCCATTGCGTGTGGACGTTTTCCAACAGTGGATCTATCAACATTTAATTCTTTTGACAACTCATCGAGCGATCGACATGGATTTTCTTCGAGTAATGCCTACAATTCTGCACCTTCAAATTTTTTCCGTGCATCTTCGCGTTCTGTCACGCACGTCGAAATCACTATTATTGAATCGCCGAAACCATTCTTTACAAGTAGTATTCGATGGAGCATGCTCACCGTAAATATCTACGAGCAAACGATGCGTTTCTGCAGCATTTTTCTTTAAAATAAAATAGTTTAAATAAAATGTTTAAAATTGCCAGATATATTAAACATTCTCATTTCCTTGTTGATAACAAGGAAAAAAGTCCGCCAAACTAAAAGAAGGATAAGTAGGTTCAATCACCTTCTTCAGATGAGAGAGTCGTTCACCTTAAGAAACTCCTTTGCGTCACGCAGACTGAGAGTAAACATTGACATAACAAATCTAATATTTCTGTTATGGTGAAAACCCGGACAATCTTTACTGGGGGCACGAATCACTCCGCCCCTTTCTGCTGCAGTTAATGCAGTAAGGAGTCTCAGAGACGTATCTGCCTTCCTGATAATTAAACCTTTGACAAAAGGTGCACCTACGCACCTGCGGAACAAAAAGGAGATAAATAAATGTTTTCCCAACAGTATACGATGGAACACCTGTGTAATTAAAAGTGGCAAGAAACAATCTTGAATCGAACACTTACAAGGTACCGGAATCAGAGTTACGAACCCGCTTCTTCAACTTCTCGACCTTGATGGGTTGTAACCATACTTCACTCCCCGACCTCGGGTGAGGTCGGAAATTCCTTAATAAAACCCACGTCTAAATCCGAGTCGTCCCTCGCAAAATAACTTGTTTAAAAATTGTATAAGCCGGCACGTAAGCATACCAAGCTTTCTTAGCAAAGATATTAAATTTGTTATTCCAAAAAATATCAATGACATTATTTGCATTTAAGAATAAATAGAAATTAACAGGAAAATGATTCTTTCTGATACAACGGAAATCAAACGCATTCTTAAGAGCCCAAGAATACGCTCAACCAACTTTAAAACCCCGCAAGAAGGTGAAGAGCTATCAGAAACCGAAAGGGCGCGATAATCAACATCAAAGCGCTCCTCCAGTTCCACGCTAATAGGCAAGTGATCCGAGTCCACCCTTTCCTCTATATTAAAACTTACAATCCTATCTTGTACGCTCTCGCTCACAAATACATAATCTATAACTGTACATCTTCTTGCACCTACGTATGTATATTCTCCTTCCCAATCCCCGGTTGTTTTCCCATTCAATATCTGTTAATCTCTTTCCTGCATAGCTTCTATAAAATGTTTACCTCCATTACCTATTGTTTTATCCTTATTATATCTTTTAGTCCCATTTCTCTTTTATCTCATTTCTCATCTTCTCTTCCTCAATTTTATGCGTGTATTTAAAAGAAAAGAGGAAACTACGAAAACCTAATATTTAGACAGAATGTTAAGGAATGGGGGCCAAAGTGCACGTAGAAAAGAATGTACTCAGTATTCTGAGTATTCAGTATTCACATGTATTCAGTATTCTGTGTCTGTGATGTTCTGTCTCGTTTGCCCGAACACGTGCACAGACCATACGAGAGAGAGAGAGAGAGAGAGAGAGAGAGAGAGACAAAAACAAAAAAGAGTGCGTCTTTTTCTACGTGCACCTCGACTTGTACTTCTCAAATAAAAGCAAACGATGGGTCTAGATATATTATGTCTAAGATCTCATTTCACTTTTCTATTTCACTCCATGAGAGGATGAATCGTCGTCGTTCCGTAGCCAAGGTTTGCTATGCCTATTTTAGACGTAAACAAGCAGCACAATAAAAGAAGGATATGGCATGGTTATGAATTAATAAATTTAAACAAAAAGCTGAATTATGTTGGGAAACGAGAAATTGAAGGAAATATTACATATGAATTCCATAAGAATGGTATCGAAATACAATAAATATAAAGTTTATAACAAAACAATATCACATTTGTATGCAGAGAGAAGGGAAAAAAAATTACATTAATTACATCACTTTTCTTTGCTATACTTTTGAAACACAAATACTTCTGTTCTAGGAAAAGAATTCAAGTAAATTTATAATAATGATGGCTAATATTTTCAGTTATGAGGAAAGCAAAAGGATTAAGCTTAGGGAGAATTCACATCTTGATAAAAAAGCATAAAGCAGAAAAGTAGTAGCCAATCAAAACTCACACTGATAATAAGCAGTAGATAAAGCAGAAATTACCAGCGCAAATTTTGATTGGCTGTTGTTTTTCTGCTTTCTGCTTTTCTGTCAAGGTGTGCATTCTCGCTTACAGATAGATATGTTACATTCTTTATATCATAGATCAAGCACTAAATTTACATGCAGATCTAAATCAACCACATAGCATCTGATCTTATTGTCAAGTAAGTATCTATCTAGTCGAAATTACACTTTCTCTATATTTATAGTATTAGTTACGTTTTACAACCATATATATATATTATTATATTGTAACTAAATTGCACCTGTTATGCAATGTTATAAATAATTGCAGAAACACTAGTACAGATTGTGCATAAACAAAACATCAGGCAGGCTACGAGAAACAATGCTTCGGCGAAGATTCTCCAACTTTGGAATCACTATTTTATATAGGCCACAGGAATCCATACAATATATTGCGATCTGACCACGTCATTATTTCCCGATAGTATGCGGATGAAGTAAAAATGATCTTATGCATATATTCACAATTGCGAGATAAAGATACGTTTTTCGATTAAACTGGACAAAAACCTAGCTAAATTACGTAGTTACGAAATTCACATCTGAAACAAAATATAAACGAAGTGTATAAGAAATCTTATAAATCTTATGATGGTATCTTTATCGCATAATTATGGTTATATGCATAAGATATCATCATTCTTACTCCATCCTTGTACTATCGGAAAATAATGTCGAGACTAGATTACGACGTATTGTATGGATTCCTGTGTAACGACTATATAGCAGTGATTCCAAAATTGGAGGGTCATCACCAAGCGTCGTTTCTCGTGGTTTGCTCGTTGTTTCGTTTACAATCTATATCAGTGTTTCTGTAATTACTTATAATATATACAATTTAACAACTTATAGCATATACAATTTAGTTACAATATATCCTTATAGTTATTTATATATTATGTAAAACGTGGATATATGCACGTAAAACTGACGTAATTATAAACAAAGAGAAAATATAATTTCGACGTGTACTCACTTGACAATAGGATCAAATACTCTGGTAGTTCACTTAGATCTGCATAAAAACCGCCTTGCTTGATCCGTAATATTTTCATCAAAGATATTGGCCATCACTATTATAAATTTACTTGAGATATTTTACATTAAATAAAAGAAGTTTCTGTGTTTTAAGAATAATGCAGAGTGGTATAATTAATGTAGTTTGTCTCTTCTCCTCTTTTTCTTTCTATGTACAAATGTGGTATGTTACAACTTTTACTTCGATATAATTCTTATGGAATTCATCTGTGATATTTTCTTCATACTCTTATTTTTCCCAAACATATAATGTAATATATATGACGGCCTAGGTTTTATACAACATACATAAAATAGTTATTACATTGATAGTTTCTTCAATAACACATACGATATTGGTAACAGTAAAATTCTTGTAATTTTCGATAATAATAATCATTAACTCTTGACGAGCTCCAGATTTTGAGCTCGAATTTTAAGCTTGAATAATTATTTATAAAATACATGGAGCAAAATAAAGAGTTATATTATAATATTATATTATAATATAAAAGAAGAAGTGATATTACCAATCTATGTAACCGGCGGACCGCAATATCTTTTGAAAATTGATGCGTAACTTTTGTCAATAAACAGTAGGTTATTTGGGCTGTGTTCTATAATTTACTGCCAGCCTTAAAAATTTATAGTTCATATTACGTATACTATAGATTTCCAGCACTGGCAGTGAATATTGGAATGCAGCCGTAATTTGATTTGTTATAAGGTCGACGTTAGGTAAATTATATTAAATAAATACTACTTTACCAGTCGAATAAGGTTTTCAAATGCAGCCCTGGCATGCTCTGATCGAGACATGAAACGAATGAATATATGAGTGTGATAAAATAATATGAATAATTATGATCAATAATTACGAAAAATATTATGATTAATGAGAAGGAACTAAATTCATTACTATATTGTACTCGAATTTGTTTGGTGACGTTAAGCTATAATTCGATTATGATTATCATATGGTAATAAATTTAGTTCTCGATATATATATATATATATATATATATATATATATATATATATATCGAGAACTAAATATACGTATGGTCTATGCACGTATATCGAGAACTAAATATACGTATGGTCTATGCACGTATATATATATATATATATATAGAGAACTAAATTTATTACCATATGATAATCATAATCATATATATATATACTTGAATTTTTTTAACATGAACCTATATCTTTCATTATATATTCTTATAGCTGACATCAAGGCGTCTTCGAAACACTAGTTACAAACCTTTTTTAGTTGAGATCTTTCTGAGTTATGAGACTTCAAAATTTCAGTACCGTCACAGTACACATGCACACACACATACACACGTGAAAGGCAAGAGCACTCACTTTAATCAATCATTCCGAAGAGGTATAAATTCATTAAAAAATTTCAAGTTAATCCTGACATGACCTTCACGTTACCACCTAAGGTCAATCGCATATGCCCATTTAATGCATTACTTGATCCCCAACAACTTTTGTCTGAAACATTTTTCAAAATAACCACTTTTATCGTTTTTAAATAAGGTGTACCTGTGGTGTGAAATACCCGCTATATACACAAAGTATTTGATTTGAGTTCCGAGTTAACGCCGTACTCTTTATGAATTTCTGATGCTTCGTAAATATTTCAGTTCACTTCTTCAGGATGAGGTACGATTCGAGATCAATCTGCAATCTTGGGTCGCACATCATTCTGAAGAAATGAAATTAAATGTTCAAAAAATGTCGGAAACAAATCCATGGAAGGCACGACGTTAACTCAAAAGCCAAATCCAGTATTAATTCATCGTGGAAGCCAAAAAAATCACACAAAGTATTATTGCATGTATATTATATTGCAATTTTTGTTCAATGTTACATTGCAATATTTCTGTGAGCGAACATTTTACTGTTGTTGCAATGTCACAGTAACGTTGTAGCAAAATTTCATAACATTCCTGTAATGTTGCAATTATGGAGAAAAATATTGCTGCAATATATCTGCAATCTTGTTCTGCTGTATGGATATATGCAAGAAATATCTAATGTTATGTGGGTAGAAAACATAAATTCATTATGCTCTTTCATCATATTGCTCTTTGAATAAAGGTAACTTAAGGTTCTTGTTAGTTTTATCATATGAAAAAGAAATATATAAAATTTATTTATTTTTGCTATACAATTGTATTTTTACTATTTTTGCATATTCTTAAATCCGCATATTGTCGACGTAAAAGAAATAAGTAAAAATTTAAGTAAATATTTAAAGAATGAAATAAAACATAAACGTTTGTTTTTTCCATGCTAGGTGGTCAGCATGAGATTGCTTGGCAAGCGACCGGATCTGAAATTAAAGTCTGTCACGATAATCCACAGTTCTACAACGGAGACGGTGCGTCTTCCGCCGGAAGGTACGGAAGGAGTGACAGTGCATCCGCCAGCGGTACGCGCCAAACTTCCCCTCAACAGAAAGGTCCGAGAAAAAAGACGTCATCGCAAGCATAAAGATGGTAGTCATGTCGATAAATCCAATAAGGTAAAAAAACTATTTATTATTAAATTTATATATTTAAAAATTAACTGTATATTTAAATATTACTATATAGATGTAATTCGTTAATTTACATCAATCAATTGCTCTAATAATGTGAAATACTGGTATAGCACAGATATGGCACGGATTATTGCAATTACATTGCAGCAACGTTGCAACGTTGCAAATTACAATGTAGCATTACAAAGACGTTGCAAAAATATATTGAGTTGCCCGAGAAGTTCGTATGAGTCTCAGCAGATGCCTCTATGAGCGTTGCGTAAGCTGTCAAAGTGATTGAAAGTACATATCATTTGATAAGTGACATTTCAACACGCCATTTAATAAATTTCTGATTGAGATCGGTTAAGTCTGCGCGTTGTCACTGAGTTATAAAGATGGAAGATGAAAAGATGTATTTTTGGCGTATAATATTTTTCTATTAAAAGAAAACATCGTGCAGACAACGGGCAAAATTGATAAAGTGTATGGAAACTATACTATTGCTTTATCAACCGTTCAGAAGTGACTTGCTAAATTTAAAGCAGGTAATTTTGACCTTGAACACACAAAGCACTCTAGAAAACTTTTAGTCGTGGATGAAAATCAAGGCGCTAATCGAAAATAACTCACAATATACAACTCGGGAAATAGCAAAGATCATAAACTTTCCAAAAAGTACCATTTATAATCGTTTGTGAAACTTAGATACGATTCTCGTTATGATATTTGTGTCCACCCAATTTATCCAAAACAAACCCAATAAGCAAGGAACATTAAATTAACGTTTAGAAATGTTGACTTTATGAACTTTATTTTTTGAATGTTTTTTTTTTAATATTATATATATATTTTTTTAATATTTATAAATATTAAAAATATTATTTTGTAATATAATTTTTCTGAATGTTGTAAAAATATTTTAAAATATTTTATCAGAGAAAATATTTTTTTAAATGTTACTTTGGTATTATTAGAGGCCAATATAACAGTTCAAAATTGCTTATAATTTAGACTTAAAAATAACATTAATAATACATTAATTTCCTTTTGTTATAACATTATTTTCTGTATTATTCTAATATGTTCGGATTTCACTGTCTGTCCGCTATTTCAAAAAATTGTGTGTGATGACCTACATAAGAAGTTACATTATTATATAGGTAGCCGCAATAATCAACGACTGCATGTTTTTATAGCTGAATTCGTCTTGCACGCTTTTAAATGCAATAATTTCAATGTAATAATATTGCAGAAATGATTGTTTGCTTATTGAGAATTTATTAAACCAATTTTCTATTTGTCATATATTGCTCAAACTCAACGAAACTGATTCATTTTTTAAACGCATTATAACGAGCAACGAAAAATAGATTGTTTTCGACAACGTTGTGCGAAAACGCTTATGGGACGAACCGCCAAAAATAACACCAAAACCAAATACCTACACAAAAAAGTTATGTTCTGTGTCTGGTAGAATTACAAAGGTATTCTTCATTTTGGGCTGTTCCCGCAGAACCAAAAAACCAAACCACAAATTCGAACACATACTGCAACCAATTGCAAAATTTGAACCGATATATCTATCAGGAGCGGCCAAAACTTGAGAACAGAAAGGGTGTTGCGTTCTACTTAGACAACGCCAGACCTCATGTATTTTTGGCCACCCGAAACAAGTTGCATGAAATTGACTGGGATGTTTTTACCGCATCCACCATATTCACCTGACTTTGCGTCCCATCAGATTATCATTTGCTCCGGTTTTTATAAAATTCCTTGAACGGGAAAACTTTCGATCGTTTGCAAGCAATAAAATACCATGTGGATGGTTTCTTTGCCTTCAAACTAAGTTCTTCGAAGGAATCTTAAAGTTGCCTGAAACATGTGTTGACATTGTGCAACAAAAGGTGGATACTTTGTTGAACAAAGCTTTTATTTAATATGCAAAAATTGCATTTCATTTTTATTCAAAAAACTCATACGAATTTCCAGGACAACCAAATAAATTCGCAAAATACAATTAACATAACTTTAGTATTTTAGAAACATTGCAAAGTCGAAATCCTGTTATGTGTATACATATATAGTATATATCCTTTCTTCCTTTTGGCGCTACAACTCTTTGTAAGGTTTGGGCCTACCTCTTTCTCGCATATATTTGTGGATGCGCGCGCAGATTATAAACAAACATATGGTACCTACGATTTAACGCCAATTCCAAACGGCAAGTTTGAGTGAGGTTTTTGTGGCAAAGATACTCTCGATGGTTTGCCAATCCATCGGAGAGGAGACAAGAGCGTATGAAAATATTTTTGGTTCTACCGGGAGGCGAACCCGGGACCTTTAAGTATAACAGACCAGTGCGCTGTCTGCTATGCCATGCTCGTGCTCATATATATATATATATATATATATACACACACACACACATACATACATACATACATACATACATACATACATACATACATACATACATACATATAGCTTTAAGACGGTTTTAAAACTTATCTTAAACCGTGTTATACTAGACAAAAAAATGTTCAAGCGGTCCACTAACAATGGAATAAACTAATCACGTGGTTCACCATGTACCTATATATATACAAGATCCCATTTTAATTTTCTTAGACTTTTTTCGAAAAATACGCATTCTTGGATGAAAATGTTTTATAGAAAAATTCTAGAATATCGAGAAGGACAGATGATGCTGACATTTATTTGATCTTGTGATGACTAGAGAAGCATTATCAAAGTCAACATAAAAATTTGAAATGGGACTTCCCACTTTTCATAGCACCCAAATAGCCAAGCCTGTGCTAACAGATATTGAGCAGACAACAAATATGTGATGTCAGAAAGGTGACAAATCTGACACAGGTTCTGTTCTATCACATGATATTGCCAAACTGCTGCCAGAAATGCGACAGAGTCTGTTGACGCAATGCGAGCAGATTGGCGACAGAAATCGAGCAGTAGCGATCTGACGGCAGATTGGTGGCAAAAACCGAGCATATCTTTCTGCGGGCAGCAGGCTGTGCTGCCAATCTGCTCACATTGTCTGTCGTCAAAACACGAGCTGGATGCAGACACAGATGGTTTTGGTGTGGGATTCTGATTAAATTTGCTGCCAATCTGCACACAGTCTGCGATCAATTTGCTTACTGGGCATAGCTTTGTAGCTAACATTGAAACGTTCCCGAAACACTGGTTATCTTTTTTCTATAAGAACTTTCCCAGTTATGGGACTTGAATATTACACTACCGCCGGCATTACTCAAGGTTTACCATGTGAAGGTTACACTGTCGGATTTACACATTTGTGTGTACATATAGTATTTAATGAATTCAAACCCTCTCTGCTGTGTGTGTGTGTGTATTTAAAGTCATTAAATACTACAGGAATGACGAACCGTAGAGTTCTTATCTCTGCTGACGAATACATGCGTATATACACAAAGAAATGTAAATCTGATCGTACAACCTCCATGTGGTACACCTTGAATAATATTAATGCCGGCGTAACTTTCAATGATAAAAATAATTAGAATAACTGGGAAAGTTCTTACGGTAAAAAAGTTCGTAATTAGTATTTCGGAAACGAACAACGTCAGCTACAAAGATATGCTATGAAAAATAGGAGGTTCCATTTAAGATTTACGCTTTTCAAAGTCATCGCAAGATCAACAAATGTCAACAAATGTCAACATCATCAGTCCCCTTCGATATATATATATAGTACGAGCTGAAATGTTTTCAATTCATAATCAAATATTTCGTTTAAAGGATATTATGGCAAAGAAGAAACAAAATCAGACAAAGAGATCATCCACTGCAGCGGCAGACGATTTCGTACGTAAGAGGCCAGCTGAAACGGCTTTGGCAGTCGTGCAGGAAAACAAGCGAAAAAAAGTGACATCTGCGACGAGAGATAAAGCACAAGGTGGCAACAATAATGCTGCTGGCAGCAGTGGGGATGACAAACAGAAGCGCAAGAAGCACCACAAGAAGGAAGTGATCGACTATTCAGCGATTCAGACGGAGAAGGATCCTGAGCCGAACACTGATCCCAAGAGCAAAGTGCGTTCCTGGTTACTGGCGTCCTCACAGTGCAGACTACCAGAGACTCCGAGGACCAATGCGATCGGCTTGCCGAAGAGCAAGTCGACCCCGGTAGGTTTGACGGCCGGTGGTGGGGTCGGCATCAGGGCAACGGTGTTGAAGCAAATTCCATCCGCACGACGTTCTGGCGCAGAAGCCAGAGAGGCGAAGAATTCGTCGTCTGGTTCAAGCGTCGCCAGGAAGGAACGCGCGAGACTTCAAGTAGTATACAAGCCGCCGTTCCGTTTCAGTGTGAAGTTACGCAAATCCGATAAAGTAGCGCAGGCTCCACAGGCGATCGTTTCACCGAGTACAGCGACGGCAAATCACATCAATATCGATAGGACAAAGTTGCCCAGAACCGGCGTGCTCCTGAGAACTGGGGCTAAGAGGAAAGACAGAGTCAGGATAGGCAGAGCGCGACAGATCGCCCCTACTGGCATAGGGAATGATTTACCGGAACCAGCCAACTCCGACTTACACACCGTACCTTCTGATTTGGAGGTACTACTGTCTGAGAGCGAATTCCTCTTCTCGGACACGTGACCATGGGCCTCAGTTCGACGAGCATGTTCATTTCGCTACGCAATTAAGTAGTCCTAGTACGTTACAGAGATTTTCGTTTCTTACTCTTACGCGAGAATAGCTTCGTTATAGGAAACTGCGGAACGATAGTTTCGTCGAATCGATAGCGTAGAAGAATCTCGTCTAAGAGCGTGGAAGGGAAGAGCCAGTTGTCTTTGACTTATTACTCATTCACATAGAATTTGTTGCATATTATTTCGGCTTATTGTTACTTCCAACTGCTCGCCGATAACCGCGTATATATATACTCGGGAAGACATTTTTTACATTTGTTTCCTCGTTGTTCTTCCTTTCCTCATCTCTAGAGCGGAGCGACAATGCAGTGACGTAATACGTTTACGATCATTTGCATGCCCTGTCGGTGAAGCAACGAATTTTGGCGTACGATCGAATAAACGGGATTTGCACTTCTGTGGCAAATGTACGGAAATATCGGTGCTAGTTCGACGATTAAGCCATTCTCTTCTTCCAAAGAAAGGGGCCAAATCCATTATTCAAGAACGACTGCCGCTGACTCACATAAGTGCTAATTTACGTACTCGTGTACAATAAAATGCTAATAAAGCAGTTTTACGTCTCACTATTGATTTTCGATCGCAGCTTTAAATTTCAGGGATCAGTACGTAATTAATGCAATTTCAAAACACAAGATGCCGTATTTTGGGAAATGAAAGTAAATGCTTTATCTCCAATCTCTTTACACCGTGCCTACTGTTATTATATTCTCCATTCCGACACACTTAAGAGAGATAACGTCTAAACTAGACGATGAAAAAATAAAGTTTTCATTTCTGATATACATAATATCGGTCGTGAAAATGATAAAAGGTGAATTGCATCGACAGCCTTCATTGATTCACTCATCACTTTTGTTCCAAACTATATAGCCTTAGTTATAATATAACCATAATATAATCTGCATTACAATTGTTGCTACAATATAGCTTGACAATTTTTTTTATATATTACAATATAGCTTGACAATTTTTTTTATACGTTAGCCTTATACATACATATAGGATGCCGAGATGCCGCCATGGTAGGAAAGTACTAGTGTCGACACTGTATTGACTGTGTTAATTGTTAGATAACACCCGACATCATTTGTGCTTTTCATTAATTCCAACAACCACCGCTTGGTGGTGCACTTCCCATTGGTCGGAATTGTTTTAGCGCGGTTATTAGTTTCTTTAAATGAAATGAAAGTGTCATATAAGAAAGTTGTTTGATTTTTTATGTATGTATGTGGTTCGTATATATTATAACATTATAATAGTCTAGTTATTAATAATATTAACTTTTATGATTAACTTGTATGTTTCATATAAGAGTTGTTTGGCAAAGATCTGCAAAGGATTTTATATGCAAACGATTTGCTAGGGATATCCTGGCTTTCAATTACAAAGGGGAAAATAGTGTCATTATCCGGATACTCGCAGATACTACTTATACTCAAGGCGACATTGAAAAGATATCATTTGACCTATTTTCGTCATTTGGTTCAAGAGATATGATAGATATGAACTTCTAAGGATAGAAATAAGTCTCATGGCTCGTCACTTTTATCCAAGTTCATACTTCCTCGCCGCCAATTGTCTTGATGACATCAGAAGCGAGAAAATACGTGAATAAAATTCTTGCAAAATGTGTTAAAATAAAAGGACATGTTAATAAGATAACATTTGTGATCGATTGGGCACATTTGTAAAATATTGCGAAAATTTTTCCTCCCCTCTTTTGCTATAATAATCTATAAACAACCGTAAAATTAATATAATATGCAACGTTGCTATTTAATCTATCTTTCCTCGCGATTTTGTCAAGTTATCTTTACGACCACTTATTGATTGTTAGAGCAAAAGGAAAATTTTCGGAATATTTTACAAACGTGCTCAATCCATTGCAAATATCATTTTATTGACATACAAGACTGTTCCACAAGAAAGTGTACGGTCTTAATTTAAGACAGCTCAATGTAACACCATCTGCTACATGACGTTGAAAAGATTGGAGCGTATTCATTTGTACAGTATGTGTTTTATGTGTTTTATTGTCATTCCAAATATTACCATTTGTTAGAGTGGTAATTTTTATAATAATTGCAAAGTATCCCAGGCATTACGAGACAGTTTTAATTTTGCAAAAGAACCAAAATGAATGTATGCTCAGGCTTCAAGATGGCTGAGAAAGTTAAACTTATTTGTTCAGAAGTAAATGGAATAGTACAAAGAAGTAGAAAATGTTTGACGACCTGCTCAAAAGAGGTTTAACCAGTACAAAGAAGACAAAACAATCATTTGTCTATTTGAACAAAACTCTACACTAATATTGCGCCAAGCTCTCGGGATCGGCTTCGTGAGGCGGATACAAATACATTGGAATAAATAGCATCAGACGTCGTTTATATGAATCGAAAGTAAAAGGTAACGTTTCGCGATCCAAAAACTTATCTTCACATAAAAATATGTCACAAAATAACTGGCATGGGCTCATGAAAATCTAAATAATGATTGCGGCGAAGTAATCTTTGCGGATGAAGCGTTTTTGAATACAGTTACCTGTACAAAAGGCCTAATCAATCCCGAGTAATAGAATCATTCAACAGACAATTAAGCATTCGATTAGGATCCATATTTGGAGATGCTGTAAGCGTAGTTTTGGTTGCTTCTATTTGTTTACTGATAACTTGAATTTGAAAAAATACACAATATTTACCAGAAATATTTGTCAACTTCATTGAAAAGTTTTATGGGAAAAATAGAGACAATAGAGATAATAGGGATAATTCAGGAACGACCCTAAACACAGAGTGGAAAGCTGAAAATTGTATTATCACAATGAATTGGTCTGCATCGTCCTCAGATGCGAATCTAATTGAGAATGTGTAGTCGTATACATGCATAAAATATAAATTAACAAGGAGAATACCATTGTCTTTCTGTTCGAGAAACTTGAAATATATTGTAGTATTATACTCCCACTAATGCATAGTAAAACGCTTGGCTAATATGACGAAGCGATTGGACCCATCACTAAGTAATTGTATATTATCTTCTTCAGTATATTTTGACGCACTATAGTCTTTTTCTTTCTCGATTGTATATTCTCGACACGTTGTAATGCACTTTCTTGTGGAACAATCTTTTTATTTTAATTATTTCACAAGAAAGAATCTTGCCTATTTTGAGCTCTTCGTATCTAATATTGAAAATGTTATATAATCTTTCCTGAAAAAAATTTCCTGCCGGAATCGGCAAATTGCTTAAATTAAGTTTCCTCATCTGACGATTTTAATGAAAATATCATTTTTTGCAGACACTCTAAGATTTGGATCAAAGTTTCTCGCGTATTTTTAATATCATACAAGAGTTATTACAAATACACAATACCTTATGATTCTTGAAAGAGATTTACTTAGATATAGTACAATTGAACACGTTCCAAATGAACACGTTAATATCGGATACGTTATATTGTGCATTCAATTGGGTATTGTGATTCAATTGGACACGTTTCATTTGGATACATCGAAATTTTGGACACAATAGCTATTGGACACATAAGTTTTCTGTGAACGTGTCACAAGTAGATATATTAGAAATTAGCTCTGTTCATTCAGACATGTTAAAAATATGTGCGCTGTTTATTTGAACACGTAAAATCTGTACGTTGCATCATATGAACACATTAAAATACACTCTGTGTATCATTTGGACGCGTAAAATCTGCGCTATGTATCATTTTGACACGTTAAAGATACATGTTCTACAAAAGCTCTCGTTTGTCTACAAAACGATTACCTATAATGTTATTTATATATTACCATATTCTATTATATATGACCATGTTGCAGACACGAAGTTGCAGACTCATTGTGCGATTCTAAATGGGTTTGGATCTTTTACTCAAAGCGAGGTCTACCCCACACCATCCAATGTTTTCGGCATCACGAGGATTATAATTATAAAGTTCTATATGAGGTTGCAACTTTTCACGTAAAACGAGACCTACTCCATATCACTCGCTGCTTCCGATCTAATAAGATCTATAATTGGGTATTTTTATATGTTTATAACTTTTGCATGTCCAAGTGATACAGCATGCAAATTTTATGTGTCCAAATGACGCAGTGTGCAGATTTTACATGTTCAAATAGTACAGTGCTCATATTCTTAACATGTCTAAATGAACAGGGCACATTTTTAATGCATATATATTGTAACGTGTCCAAGAAAAACTTTCGTTTCCAATAGTTAATGTGTCCAAAATTTCAGTGTCTAATTGAACACTATATAATATAACGTGTCCAATTGTATCGTGTCAAAATGAAAGCCATTCATGCATCTATTTTTACAAGTACAGTAAATATTCTTTAATTGTTTGCATTCCTATATTATTATGCTCACTTAAGATATAAATATGACGTATTTTGCTATGATAAATAAGAGATTTTCAATATTATGAAATGATATTATAATTGTTAAGATTTTCATTTCTATATTGCAGCTTACCTCGATAAAATAGCATCTATCGGTTCTTAAATATTCTCCATAATAATATTTTGCTTGTTTTATTTAATAATTCCCAAGACTTATAATGTACAAATCTTCCACTGTCAATAAAAATCTACCTTTTCCATCCAACAAAATGAATTGTAAAAATCTATGATTGAGATTTTTTTAGTCTTCGGCGGGTTAGAACTAATTTATTTCGTTCGTGAAGTCGATCCAACATAAGCTGAGCAATATTATCAGTTTATATATCTAAAATGATATTAGAATGAAACATATCATGTTTATATATAAAACATATCAAGTACTGTAGCAATTCTAAAGTCTGTCATTAGATAAAGGAGTGATTAAATTTGTCATACATAATCGTAATATTTTTATATATAACAACTCTTAAAGTGACCTCGTTTATGACCTCAACAATAAAATGAATTTTTGTAATTAACCGCAAACGATTAGTGTTCAAATCACTTAATTGAGTTTTCTTGAAAGAAATTATTTCTAACATTTTCATTTCGAAATTTTTATTTTCTAAGTAAATTTCGGTCTACAATAAAAATAGGTGTTTTAAACTTTGAGTCTTGAGAAACTGATTAATCACAGTTAATTATTCTCTTCACATTCGACTGTGATTGATCAATTTCTTAAGACTTAAAGCTTAAAACACATATTGTAGACCGGGATTAGCTTACAACGTCTCATAAATTTCTATCTACTATAAACACATCTCCATTTTATAACAGAAATGTTACTTCTGTCATGTACTGGAAAACTTCTCTCGTTATGGTCGCATCCCAGTGAGCAACAAATCATTAACACAATGTTATTACAATGTTATTACAATATTTTGTAACATGTAACGTTTTCAAATTTGTAGTTCTTAATGTTGTACACGATGTCATTGTTAACAATATTTGACCCAAACATTAAAAATAATATTTACACAATATGATTGTAATATTTATGAATATTATCTCATCAAGTAATCAGTTAAAAAATATTTATAAAATATTATGTCAAAATGTTTATAAAATCCACATAAAATCAATGTTTCAAAAGATTGATTTAATGTTTCTTGCTTACTGGGATAATTTTTATTTGTAAAAGTCCGAGGACATTTAATATGTAGCCGTTGGTAACAATGCATACAAAAAGGTTTAATAAAACGTTCAATCAAAGGACGATATTTATACTAAAAGATAGTATTTGAAATACATTATTACTACTTTTATGAGTATATACATATCTTCCGTCCCCAATTGTCATTAAAGAAGTCGCATTTTCACGTTGAGAGAGTTTATGTCGGGTTCTTAGGCATTTATCTCCTGTTCAAATGCTTAGGATTGGGTAAGTTAATTCTTTTGTTAACTAAGTTAAGTTAAAAATTATTTTCCTAAATTAATTAAGTTTACGTTAAAAATTACATAAATAAATTTAACTCAGTTAAAAATTAAGTTAAAAATTAAATTAACTTATTTTAAAGTTAAAAATTAATTATGCAAAGCATCATATATGCATGTGTTGTGTGCACGTGCGTGCGTATGTGCATGTGTGCATGTTATTTTCATAATTTACTTTTTAACCATAAATTTTTACGTGAAATAAGGAAAATTGATTCTTTCATAAGAAAATATATTTTCTTATATAATTTATATACAATAGTTGCAATAGATTACACAGAGTGTCTGACAATGGCAAAATTTTTCTGTAAAATTCTGCATGCAAACAGTGCAGATTAAACTGAACAAAAAAACCTTCTATTATTTTGTGAATTTCGCAATAATTGTTAAGGAATTAAACATTATTAACGAATGAACTCAAGCAACATAACGTCTAAAATCCAGTGGCAGTATTCTCCAACTGATACATTCGTCGTTTATAGTCTTTCTCTCCAGGATGAACTCTCCAGAGATATCGCTGTCATGATTTGTTAATCCGAATTTCTCCTACACGTCCAGGGACTTAGCCGGGCCAGTAACAAAAGATCATTCAAAGTACTTGAAATTGGTATTTTTTAGGATAATTTATGTTACCCTTTGATCACCGTCACCACAAGAAGGTGCTTTGGACGAGAAATCGAACACAAAAGTGCCATTTAGCCACATTTCTCCAATATTTCAAGGAAGCCACATTTCTCCAATATTTCAAGGAATGTATTTC